TATATATATATATCTCCAGATACTGCCTTGGGGGTGGTGTGGTGGTACCAGGACTGCAACTCCCATTATCCCCTTCTTAGGTGGGCTGGGGATGATGGGAGATGCAGTTCTCCCAACTAGTTCTCCCCTCTCCCCCTTTAGGATTCTTGCCAAACAGACCCAATTGCAAAGAGTGCAACCTTTTTTCTATCACAAGAAAGTAGATAAATGCATGCTTTATGGGGTCTTTCTTTTGGGCTGCATCTGCACTGCAGAAATAATCCAGTTTGAGACTGGTTTAACTACCCTGGCTCAGTGCTAGGGGATTTTGGGAACTGTAGTTTTGTGTAAACTACCCAGTAAACTACAATTCCCAGGATTCCCTAACCCTGAGCCAGGGTCAAGGTGTCAAACTGGATTATTTCTGCAGTGTGGATGGGAACTTGTTGCTGTGTGCCTCCAAGTCATTTCTGGCTTGTGACAACCCTAAGGCAAAACTATCATAGGGTTTTCTTGGCAAGATTTGTTCAGAGGAGGTTTATAAGGTACACAACAACAACAACAACATTCATTCATTTGTACATGTTGTTGCTGTTGTTGTTGTTGTTGTTGTTGTTGTGTGCCTTCAAGTTGTTTCTGACATTAATTGTGCAATTGACCCTAGTGCGAATTGCTGAATCTAGTATTATTATTGTCAGGGAGGCTTTTATACACAGTGTATATGTTCTCTTTATATTTTTTAAGCTTTTGTATGTTTAATGTAATTTCATATCATTTTAAATTTTTATCGCACATTTGTATTTTCCCTTTCCGTGAGAAAAGCAGCAAATTTTTGTTGTGTGCCTACAAGTCATTTCCAACTTATGGCAACACTGTCATGAGGTTTTCTTGGCAAGATTTGGTCAGGGGAGGTTTTGCCCTGGCCTTCCCCTGAGGCTGAGAGAGTATGACTTGCCCAAGTGGGTTTAGATGGCTGAGCCATGAATCGAACCCTGGTCTTAAGGGTCACAATCCAAAACTCAGACCACTATACTTTGCTGGCTTTCATATAGATCGGGGTAGGCAACCTTTTTGAGCCGGGGGCCAGGTTGCTGTCCCTCAGACAATTGGGGGCCCGAAGAACCATAATAAATAAATAAATAAATAAATGCACACTCTCTCAGCCCCAGAAA